CGTCAAACAGTCGTTCTGTGCACCATTTGGTGATGTTTAATTTAAGGTTCCAATGTATCTAAGTTGCCTATGCCATTTACACATGTCAAATCATTTATTTTGTGTGTCAGTTTAGACTGCAAAGTCTCTTTTTGACAGCTAGAGTGGTATTGTTTTTGTAATTGTAGACGTGTTGGTCGTTATTTTAATATTATTATTATGTTGCTAAGTTAAAATGAAGAATTATCCAAGAGAAGAGCGTATTGACATGATTTTCACTCTTGGAGAATGTCATAAAAATTATTTATTGGCTTCTCGAGTTTATGCTCAAAAGTTTGCTGAAAGAAATCATCCTAAGCCAACAGTTTTTAAGCGCTTATTACACCAATTTGAGGAAACTAGGAGTGTCTATTATAAAAAACTCGTTACAAGGAAATCTGCCACTGAAGATGAAGAAAATGTTTTCACGGTAATTGGTTCAGTTATCGAAAATCCCAATGTTAGTCAAAATCTAATATCCAAAAGTACTAACATTAGTCAATCAAGTATTTCCAGAATTATCAAAAAGCACAACTTTTATCCTTATAAAATTCAGCTTTGCCAAGATCTTTATGGAAATGATTTTGAAAGCCAAACTGAGTTTTGCATGTGGGTGTTAGATAAAATTGCAGAAAATGAAAAGTTTTTTGAAAATGTGTTATTTAGTGATGAATGTACTTTTCATAACAATGGTCTCGTGAATAGACACAACTTTCATTATTATTCTGATACGAATCCGCGCGCATACAGGGTCATAAAAAATCAAAATAGGTGGTCAGTTAATGTGTGGGGTGGAATACTGGGCCAATATTTAATTGGGCCCTATTTTTTTGAAGGACTCTTAAATTGTTTGATGAATGAAATGATGAATCAACATGTGGCTTCAATTGGATGGAGCTCCGCCTCATTATCACTGCGAAGTTCGGCAATTTTTAAATTCCAACTTTCAAAACAGGTGGCATTGTCTACCATACGCTTCCGACAACTTCACACGATTTAAAAACATGCATAAGCGACGCTTTAAAAACTGTAACCCCGCAAATGTTGTCCAGAGTTAGCAGTTGTTTTGAAAAAATAATTTACAAGTGCCTGGCAATTGACGGTCAACATTTCGAACATTTGTTCTAAATAATTTGCCTTTGTTTTATGTTACTGTTGATATGTTATTTAACCTTTTAATAAAAAAAACACCAAATGGTGCACAGAACCATTATTTGGTGTATTTCGTAAGAAGGCAAAAACTTAGTTATAAACATCCTAGTACCATTCGATAGGTAATTAAAAACTGCGTTTCCTCGTAAGCTAAAAAATATGGGGTTGTATTCAAATTAATCAAGTTATAGCCACTTAAAGTTCTTATTTGATTAGTTTGAATTTGTGGACACCCTGTATAAAATGGTACGTTTATT